TTTTTTGGAAATGCGCTATATAAATGTTATATTATATTATTATTATTTATTATAATTATAATTCTAAAGGTCTTGTAATTAAATTCCTGCATGTGGTTGAATGATGCATCTGATGTGATATGTAGGCTACAGTTTGTCAGCTTTACTTCTCTTTTCATATTGAATTTTAGTGAGAGTTCTATATCATTCAAATTCTTATGTATACATGTACCTGCATGTGTTTGTACGGTCCTGTACAGCCCAGAAAAATTCCCCTCTGGGATATAAGCATTATCTTATCGTGTCTTATCTTATGAGAAGTGGCAGAACATCCATTACATAGTCAATGTGGACAAACCACACTTCTTCAGCACATTTTTTGTGAACTCATTTGCCAAGCTTTCGCTTTAAGAACTCAACCTCAAGTTCATCACCGATATTTCTTTTTTTGTTCTCTATGTCAGCATAGCAGAAAATGACAGTCTTCATTTTTAAACTCACAAATTATGAAGTCATCTATTGTGATGTAAAAATGTAAAATGTATTATCTAGTAATAACACGGATATGTCGAACACAGAAGACCCAAAATCACGCATCCGCCGAACTGTGCCTGCTGTCCCGTTTTTATTCTTTCTCTCTTGTTTATCTTGTAAGATATCCCTCGAACTACCGAGGTCGGTCTCAACGAATTCGAGCTATCTGTGTTATGTTGTATATATTATAATATATTTTTGGAATGATTTAAAACTCCCAACAACAAAAATTTCATCATCTTCTGTTTCCATATCAGCATCCCTCCCAAGAAATTCATCCAGGCTGATGTCATCCGAATCACTCTCCAGAACAAGCGTTTTCTTGACAACAGTGTTGGTGGTCTGCTTCTTCATCCTGCTGTCTTTATTCGCATCAAGTTTCATCCTCTACATCCTAAAGCTTGCTGTTGCCAGGGCTGACTTTCCGCTTTTTCCGCTTTCTTTAAACGATTTTTTTGAGAAGCCCAAAGACATGAAACAAGCCATGCTAGCATATGTTTTTCCTCGTAAGAACCATTGTACATCACGATGTAAGTGTACTCTTTCTGAAAGTCCATGTCACAGAAATATTAAATCCGTATAATGAAAACACAATTTATTAATGAAACCTTGATTGAAGCCGTACACATTGGCGCATGTAAGTTGTTGATACTTCTGTATGAACTCCCCCCAACAGGGCAGTGCTACTGACTGAAGTTGTCTTTAGGTTTGTCTTTTGGTTTCCGTAGAGTAGTCATTACAATTTTTTTTCATGTTTTGGACGAAGTCCTCAGGGCGAAACGTTGAACTTTTTCAGCATTACATGTATAAATTTTGCAGTACTAATGTATCCACCATTTCCCCCCCCCCTTTCTTTATCTTCGGGCTTTCAACAATGATAATGATGAATTTTATGATGATTTACAGCTTTAAAAATATTGAAATCCTACAGTCTCCACATTTTGTTGTTGTTGCTTTTTAAAAAATCTTCTAGCCTGCAACTGTGAATATGATGATGATGTTGATGATGATGGTTTTTAAAATCACGATCTTGACTAAGCCCAATTTGACGTAGTGTTATAACTTTTTCATAGTGTCATATCATAATATTATATACTCTTTTACATTATACATTTTCTTTGGGTTTTATTTGTTGTCATGCTTAAGGGAGAGGGGGGGGGGGGGGGTTACACCTGAAGGCTATCTCGCTTATTACTGGACCAAATTTTACCAAATGTTACCAAATTTCACACATATAACAAGCATAGCAAGGAGTTTTTAAATCCGCAATCAAATTTGAGAACAAAGTTTCGTTTCCATGGATACGGCGGCCATATTGGATTTTGTTGACATGTCTTACGTATTGTATGCTTCCCGGGAAGCTGAGAATGTTTCGGAGTGTTCTATGGTCTGCTGGGGTAATAATATAGTGTAAAGCGCAAAGAGCCTGCTGCTGAGCGGGGATATGCGCTATACAAATGCTATCTATTATTATTATTATTATTATTATTATTATTATTATTATTATTATTATCATTATTATTATTGAATACCGCATTTACTGCTAATGGAAATTGATTGTTTTT